CCCCCTGGCCGGCCCCTGCCTCGCGAGGCGGTGGCATGACGGGGCAGAAGCTGCCTCGCAGGGTGCCCAGGACTCGCCAGGGCTGGCAGCATCCCCCCAGCTGCGCTCCGCCGGCCGGCTTGAACCCGCATCCCTGTTGGGGACACCCCTGGGGACCCCGGCTGTTGCTCCCACTGCCCGCCTGCCTACATATGGACGCAGGGTCCCTCAAAATATTTTCCCCACGTGGTATCAGCAAACAAGTGACAGCCATAAATTAAGAAAGAGAAGAGGGGGGGAAACTTGTAAAATTAATTCTTGTATATCTTTTAGCCTATTCTGCAAAATCTTATTCGCGTGAGCATGAGAACTTGGGCCGGGTTTTACAAAACTGGGGCCTACAACAGAGGCAAACCCATCTCAGATTATCACAGGCTTTTCTCTTTATGGTATCAGCAAACAGGTGACAGCCATAAATTAAGAAAGAGAAGAGGGGGGGAAACTTGTAAAATTAATTCTTGTATATCTTTTAGCCTATTCTGCAAAATCTTATTCGCGTGAGCATGAGAACTTGGGCCGGGTTTTACAAAACTGGGGCCTACAACAGAGGCAAACCCATCTCAGATTATCACAGGCTTTTCTCTTTGTTCCTGTATCCTCTCCCGGCGTATCCTCTTCCCTCACTCCTCTCCCCCTGCCCCAAACTTCTCTGTTTGCTTTCTTTGTGGTATTTTCATTTAGGCGCCTTTTGGATTCCTCAGCGATGACATAACCATCGCTCTTTGGCTATGGTTTTATATTTACCCCGCTAGTTTTTGTGTGCTGGAATTTCATTTAATCTTCATTAGGTATGCTTATCCCTCAGCAAGATGACAGCAAAGGTTAAAACTCAAGCCAGCAATGGTGCCCAGCATTACATAAAGGCGCAGAAGGTTGAATGGGAGCTGTTGGTTTAAATCCGACTGTATTTTGGGAAGGCTCCGGCAGCGGAGGAGAAACCCAGCTCACCCAAGCGAAGGTTGTTTCTGAGATGAGAGAAAGGCTGTTTGTTTCCAGGGCAGGAGTGTCCCGAAGGCTTTAAAATACAAAGTGATCTCAGGTTTAAAACCAAAGGAGGACAGGGCATAAATACTGATGCATCACAGGCGAGCGCGGGCTGTGCCGGTGCTGAGAGACACCATCACACCCCAGCGCCGTCTCTCTGCAGAGCCGGGCCAGGCGCTGAGTGACCGGGAGGTACAGGACAGCCTGGGGAGGAGGAGGAAGAGGAAATAACACGGCCTCTTTGCATCTTTATGATTAGTGTTTAGTTCACTGAAAGGTTCCCCCGAGTGTTTCTGTTAGCCTGGGTGCAGGGGGCTGCTGGAGTGCCTGCCTGCCAAGGCGTCTGTCCACACCAGCTGATTAGCAGCAATTAGCGTTGCGGGTCTCGTGCACTGGCCGGAGGAGGGTGCGTGCCTCCTGCTCGGGTGGGTGCGTGCCGGAGGCGGGCGTCAGCCCTGGAGCGCGTCCGTCACCTCCCCGCTGCGGTGGCAGCGGGTGGAAATGGGTCTGTAGCCCCTTTCCGGCTATCCCAACGTGTGCATCCCGTGCCCACTGCAGCGCTCTCTCAACCCTTCCTGCCACTGGCCCCTCGTCCCCTCCTGCCACTGGCGACTTTCCCGCGGCCCCCCCGGCGCACACAGGTCTCCGTGAAGCAATTTCAGATCCTGCTTAGAAGAGGTATTAACAAAAGGTGCAGAAAGGAGAAAAAAACCTTCTGAAAACTGTGGATGACTCTCGTTGAAAACAATAGGAAGGCAAGTAGCCTAGGCACAGCAGCAGGCATTTTCAAATCTGGTTGTTCAGGCATGTAAATACCTGCTTAAGCATGGAAGTAAATCCCATTTGGAGTGGCCGAACGTTTGTTTGAAAACTGTGAGCTGTATATTTGGTGCCAGCTGTCATCCCTGGGAAAGCTGGCTCTCCTGCCGTCATCCCCGCGCTGCCGCAGCCAGGAGAAGTCGCCGTCGTTCGGGTGTTGTTTAAACTTGAGTCACACAGAGCTGCAGAAAGGATGAGAAACCACACGTTGAAACCCCAGAAGAAATTTGTGAAGCCAGGCAAGTTTTGCAAACCCTGTACGGAGTCCATAAAACCAAGTTACTTCAGCCTCTGGATTAGATTTAATTTGTTTTTAAAAGTTCTGGATTTTTTTCTACGTCACTGCTCGCCGTCTGCCCCATCGCTTCCCGCGCAGGCGGCCGCGGGGCTGGTTTTGCAGTTCATTGGCGCTGGCCAGGTGAGGAGCTGACACATCCAGCTCTGACAGGCTGCAGAAAAGCCGGGGACTTGGGGGGAAGATATTTACCATCCCTTTGTGCTGCTCGTGACAGGTTCCTCTTTGCACCTCATCACCGCTTGACATATGACGCCTTCCTCCGCTCGGGGTTTCCTGCAAAACTTTCCACCTTGGCTATAGCTGCAGGATTCGCTTTGAAGAGCTGCAGCATGGGAGAGCCGGGCCCTTGGCATGGCTGGCACGGGCCGGCACGGCGGGGGGGGCGCCGGC